AGTGTCCTAGTGTAGGCCAGCATTATTATATATGATAAAGGAGTATTTATTGAAACGCTAACAGCTTGCTTACAGTGGTAGCCACTAAATACTTTTACAGTTGTCATTGGCAAGAAAGTTAGTTACCACAGTGTTCATAGGAAGTAAAATCCACTGCTGTGCAGAGAGCCAGCATAAGGCATATCCTCAACTGAGGGCTCACTTATCAGCCCTGTTGTGAAGGTTGAAGTGGAATTGAAGTGGTGCATACGCCTAGAGTTGACCCACAGTACAGGGACCAAAGGGTGGATGCCCTCCAACTGCTCACTCAAGTGTAAAGGTGTTAAACTATGTCTACAGTAAGTGCTAAGTGATGTTTCACATGGAGTCAGCTACCTCATAATAGCTACTTAAAGCAAATGCAATTTTAGGTTACATTAACAGAAGCATAGCCTGCAAGTCACGGGAGGTGATAGTACCACTCTACTCGATACTGGTTAGGCCTGAGCAGGAGTATTGTGTCGAATTTTGGTCACCAAGGTATAGAAAGGATGTAGAGAAACAGGAAAGGATCCAGAGGTGAGTGACAAAGATGATTAAAGGGATGGAATGCAGCCATGCGAGCAAAGGCTGAAGGAACTGGGTATGTTTAGTTTGGAAAAGAGGAGATTGAGGAGGGACATGATAGCAGTCGTCAAATACTTGAAAGGCTGCCATAAGAAAGATGGAGAAAAGTTTGTTCTCTTGCCACAGAGGGCGGTACAAGAGGCAATGGGTTCAAACTACGGCACAACAAATTTAGATTAAATCTAAGGAAAAACTGTAAGAACAGTAGGACAATGGAACAGACCACCTAGGGAAGTCATGGAAGTTCCTTCACTGGAAGTTTTCAAAAGGAAGCTGTATAGTTATCTGTCTTGGATGGTTTTTAGACACAACAAATCCTGCATCTTGGCAGAGGTGACCCTTGCAGTCCCTTCTAGCCATATGGTTCTATGATTCTAACTTTTTTTTTCACCTTTTACCAAGCCCACAGACTGCAAAGCAACCCCTCTTCCCCAAAACAATAATGCGTCCCAGTTCTCCCAAATGCACAATGTGTAAGTTAAAATGGTTTGGAAAAAAGTCCGTCCTCACCTTGAGCCCATACCCTGAGTTTCATATTCAGATTTTACGTAGTCTTGTCATAGGCAGACTCTCACTGAAGAAAAAGAGATATTGGCCTGAATAAAAGCAAAGAAAAAACCTGAGAAGCTGACCGACAAGAGAGAAAGTCTCATCTTTTCAAAATTTTCTGCCTTTACTTATAGAACTTCTGCAATAAGTATGTCATTGTCACTTCAGTGATTTGATGTAACCTTACCTGAACATACAGTTCTTTCCTCCCCGTGCCCCATTCTGTCCTAAACAAGCCATGGGTGCTTTCAAACCACAGTCCTAAAGAGTTTTTATTTAAACAAAACAGTAGAAGACGGAATCTGAACACAAAATGGACATTAATACTTTGTCTATATTACAGTTTGTAATCACTTAGTGATGTGATTGGCTCTGTCTCCACATCCAAAATAGTTAATACATTGTTGAAAATCATGGCAGCTAGGCATGTGTAACCCTTGCCTACAGTCTAGGGAAGCACATTGTTGTCTTTCTGTAGCTAGGTTGTAATGCTGTACTTTGATCTGTAGACAGCTCAACCAATCTTCTATCCTCCTCTTGTGCATTAAGATGCTTCACATCTGGCTGGTTCATCTTGTGTGCATGCCTTTCAGGGACTTTTAGATTTTTCATGGATACAAACAAGGGTAGGTAGCATAGTAAGTGGTGATGTGCAAACATGATTGAGTATTTGATGGCTGTGTTGTGGAAAAGTGCTGTGTGGATGCAACTCAATGCAATCCGTTGGAAATTGGGTCATACAAGAGTGTGATGACATGGTTACAACAAACTTGGTAGATGGGGGGGGGGGCTAAAAGGTCTAGTCTTCTATTAATTTTCAGAAGATTCCTCCATGTAACTCCCAATAGCAATGAGTTGCCTATAAAACCCACATGCAACAGCAGAAGAATAAACATCTTAATCACCACCACTCCCAAACAAATACAGGTAACACGAACTAATACGTTCTTCTAATAGCAGTGTGAATTTCCAAACTTACAGTAGACTGACCCTATCTGAGATGTGGAATCTTTCTCATATAGGACATCAGTTTGAGTCTAATGCAGATTGGGAATACAACAACTGAAAAATTACTACATTTAAAAATTATGCTCTGCTTTTGTTTCTTTATTGATAAATATGAATGGATGTAGGACAGCAGGATACATTGTCAGCAGCAGCTGGCTAAGGTGCAAAGGGTAATTGAAACATCTTGAAATAAAAGTTTAGAGATGTGGTGGAATATTTTTCTCATGGGAGAAATTGAACTGTGATTTTGAGACCATGCATAAAACAGAAATTTTGGAGCAATCTTGATGCAAATTATTGATTGTGCAGGATACAAGCTGACAATTCCCATAAAAAATGAGGCAACAATTGCTGAATTGACAGTTTATGTGCTGGTGACAAGAAGACAGATACTACAGTTTATGAATTTGTAATATTTAACCAATGGTCTGGTCTTGATTTTACAATTGCCTTCATTTACAAATGTTTTCCACCCTTTATTAGTTCAAGCGTCAAAATGGAATATATGTAACACATTTCATTGTAGGCTATTGGGTGAAAGCATCCTTTTGTGTTCCTGCTTTTTATGTTTCGTAATGCACACAAATGGCTATTGATTGTTCTTGTCCTGTCGTGTTGGACAGTGAATTAACCCTTAGGTAACTAGCTTCACATGCAATGGGATGAAAATGGTTGATTTCCACAGGTTGTGGGAAGTGTTGTGTTAGACAGAAGGGAGGATTATGTAGCTGTTGGGAGGCTGGGCTGGAGCCAAATTGTTGCCTGGAGTAAGTCCAGAATGACTCCACTCCTGGGAACCCCATTCTGCCTTGGCATGCAATCCTACTTTGACCTAAGAATAAGAACATAAGAATGACCCTACTGGGTCAGACCAAGGGTCCATCTAGCCCAGTATCCTGTCTTCCGACAGTGACCAGTGCCAGGTGTCCCAGAGGGAATTAACAGAACAGGTAATCATCAAGTGATCCATCCCCTTTCGCTCATTCCCAGCTTCTGGCAAACAGAGGCTAGGGACACCATTCCTGCCCATCCTGGCTAATAGCCTTTGATGGACCTATCCTCCATGAATGTATCTAGTTCTTTTTTGAACCCTGTTACAGTTTTGGCCTTCACAACATCCTCTGGCAAGGAGTACCACAGGTTGACTGTGCGTTGTGTAAAAAAATACTTCCTTTTATTTGTTTTAAACCTTCTGCCGATTAATTTCAGTTGCTGACCCCTAGTTTTTGTGTTATGAGAAGTAGTAAACAACACTTCCTTATCTACTTTCTCTATACCAGTCATGATTTTATAGACCTCAATCATCTCCCCTTAGCCGTCTCTTTTTTAAGCTGAAAAGTCCCAGTCTTATTAATCTCTCCTCATACGGAAGCCGTTCCATACCCCTAATCATTTTTGTTGCCCTTTTCTGAACCTTTTCCAATTCCAATATATCTTTTTTGAGATGGGGCGATCATATCTGCACACAGTATTCAAGATGTGGGTGTACCACGGATTTATATAGAGGCAACATGATATTTTCTGTCCTATTATCTATCCCTTTCTTAATTATTCCCAGCATTCTGTTCCCTTTTTTGACTGCCGCTGCATATTGAGTGGATGTTTTCAGAGAACTATCCACAATGACTCCAAGATCTCTTTCTTGAGTGGCAACAGCTAATTTAGACTCCATCATTTTATATGTATAGTTGGGATTATGCTTTCCAATGTGCATTACTTTACATCGACCAACATTAAATTTCATCTGCCATTTTGTTGCCCAGTCACCCAGTTTTGAGAGATCCTTTTGTAGCTCTTCGCAGTCTGCCTGGGTCTTAACTATCTTTAGTAATTTTGTATCATCTGCAAATTTTGTTATCTCACTGTTTACCCCTTTTTCCAGATCATTTATGAATATGGACTGGTCCCAGAACAGATCCCTGGGGGACACCAGTATTTATCTCTCTCCACTCTGAAAACTGACCATTTATACCTACCCTTTGTTTCCTATCTTAACCAGTTACCAATCCATGAGAGCACCTTCCCTCTTATCCCGTGGCAGCTTACTTTGCATAAGAGCCTTTGGTGAGGAACCTTGTCAAAGGCTTTCTGAAAATCTAAGTACACTATATCCATTGGATCCCCTTGGTCCACCTGCTTGTTGACCCCCTCAAAGAATTCTAGTAGATTGGTGAGGCATGATTTCCCTTTACTAAAATCATGTTGACTCTTCCTCAACAAATTATGTTCATCTATATGTCTGACAATATTGTTCTTTATTATAGTTCCAACCAGTTTGCCCGGTACTGAAGTCAGTCTTACAGGCCTGTAATTGCCGGGATCACCTCTGGAGCCCTGTTTAAAAATTGGCGTCACATTAGCTATCCTCCAGTCATCTGGTACAGAAGCTGATTTAAATGATAGGTTACAGACTACTGTTAGTAGTTCTGCAATTTCACATTTGAGACAGTCAAAAGTCAACAATTTTAGCAAGTGAAATAACAAAGCAATAGGACAAGTGGTTTATTGACTATTTACATTGGTTTATGTCGAGTGTTCAGATGATGACATTTGTTTTACACATATGTAAAATGGAACTTACAGGTGGTGATTATACCTGTTGTTAAATTGATGCCTGCCCTGGTATTTACAGCTACGCTGGGCTCACTTTGTAGTTCATTCTAGTTGTAGATATGTAATTGGATTCAGAGCAATACTCCTAGGACCAGGAATATACTTAGCACAGGGACGAACATTTAAAGTCCACCCACTGTAGGATCTAGTGGGAAGCATTTACTGATTTTTATCCTGGCTTGCTGTTTGAATCTTTCTTCTCTCCCCTACTTTTCTCCCTGCAGAAGTGCTGGTGACAAGAACAAACAGCTGCCAGTCTGACAGCAGTGGATTTCTGGAGGAACCACCGGAGCCCTTACCTTTACAAGTAAAGAGCTGCTGATATTCTTCAATGAGATTAATGAAAAGTTTGAGCAAAATTAATACCCAAAAGTTATCAGGTTCATGAAAAACAAAAGCAATACAGGGGGATGGAATTTCCCTGAGATTCCCTGTGGGGAAAAAAGGGAGATTTTCATAGGCAAAAAAAAACTTTCTACCCCAGTGGAATACTATGCAAGGTCCAAAATTATACCTTGTAGAACTATTCCACTTTGGCTACTTATATCCTATCTTACTGTATTGTATTGTTGCCACTTTGGCTCAAGTGGTCAGCCAACATTTAGGGCTTTGCTGGGTTGTATCTGTTAGGAAGAGATGATGTGAGTCAGGTATATTCTTTGGTGTAATCTAGTTTATTTACAAAAGATCTACAGAAAGTCTTCCCTGAACACAGTAGAAACAGCAGGCCATCTCCTCGCTCAGAAATAGCTCAATGTGAATCTCCATCAAGCTCATAGCCCATGAAGCTCTGTCTCTCTGCATCCCCTTAGGGCCACATTTGCAACAGCTTCTCTTGCTTTCTGCCTCCAGCCTACACTCAGCTGCAATCAATATTCTAGCTCCTCTGTTTGTATCCAAGGAAGACCCACTGTCCATACAACTTAGTTCTGACCTGTCATGTGGCCTAGTGCACTGAACAGTAGCCTCCATTGCTTGCAGATAAAGGAGCCACTGAGCCTGAAAATGAGTGCTTGGCACACCTGTCTTTAACAAGTTTGTTTTTGGATCAAAAAGCTCCTTAATGGCAGCCATTAGCATCTCTCAGCATAACGTTATCTAGGCAGTAGCACAATTTGAGGTTTCCAAATCCCCTATATTCAAAGACTTGCAGTAAGATGTAACTAGAACTTCTAATGAGAATTCAAAATAGCGGGTGGAAAGTGACATTACTCCCTGCGCCAAAGCTCAGTGAAGTCAACAAAAGTCTTTTTTTATTTACTTCAATGAGCTGTGAATCAGGCCCATATAGTGCAGACCTCAGTAGGTGTGAGGTGCAAGGGTTGAAAATTTGATTGGCCCTGTTGGTCTTGTCTTCACAATGAAGTGTCTAGTCTTTTGCTCAGCCTGCTAACTCATATGAAAACTACAGATCACCTTGTTTTCACAAGAATGTTAACTTGAATTATGAACACACCTTTTTTTCCCCAGTGAAAACAAGGCTTTTGTGTGAAATTGGTACAACATTTAGGAGGAGAAACCTCATTCTGCTCTCCTGACCACCCAGGGACCAACTGACCACAATCGGCCCTTAACCACGTACCAAACAAAAGAGTTCCTTTTGTATTTAAAAATTCTTCAAGATAAAGTCCCATTATCCATCTCATCAAACTAGTCCATGGCTTTGCAATATTATATTCTTAGTGTCCTCTCATTTTCCTTGCAGAATCCACCTTTTCCAGGACACCTGAACCTCAGCTGTGATACCCATGACCGAAAAGTAGCTCTGCCACATAGAACAGCTCTCGCTGTGTCACACCAGGATTTTCATCAAAAACCAAAGGGCCCTGTTGCTAACACCTCCACTGCAGATTGCAAGAACATTCCAAGGGTGTCTAGTCCAGATAGAGAACACAAGGACCAGAGGGAAGAGACCGCCCTCTCACTAACTGTGGAAGATGGTCTACATCAAGTCTTCAGTGATCAATCAGAGGGTTTTGTCAAAGAAATGGTGTACAATGCGAATAAGCAGGAGATTAAAATTGGAAGAGGGCAATTGGAGAAAGAGGAGAGCTGCATACAACAGCAAACTCCATGTTTTCAGGCTGGTAATCAGGATGTGAGAGATATTGTCACCCCAGAACCTGACTGTCATTTATACTTTGGTTCATTACCCAAAACTCCAGCTCCATCTCACGCTGAAGAGAATGGAACAACTCCCATTGACTTCACTGGCAGTGGAGGCTGTGCCAAACAAGAGGCAAGAGAGGGACCTTTGACTGAGGAGGATGCTGGGAAAGTACTTAAGGAAAATATCCAGGAAGGTATTACAGGACATGTAAAAGGAAAGCAATGTGATAAGGAGATTTTCAGTAAAGTTGATACCCTGGTTCCAGTCACCAACGCCACAAGTGGTCAGCAGTTTTGCAAACCGGACATTGATATACACAGTATAAGCCGCTCTTGTGAAACAGGGACACCAGAGACCCAATGGCAGGTCTCAGAAGTACAAAATGAAAGCAAGGTTATTTCAAGCAGTTCTTTACAAGTGGCTAATTTTTCTGCTTACTGCAGATCTGAATTTAGTTCCCAGGAAAGCACAGAGACTTGCTGTTTGGGTAAAATATCAGAAGCCAACAAAATGGAGAAGAATGATTCTGCCCAAAACGCTGAAATACACACTAATCCCTCCAAGTCTGTTACTGTTCAGATGTCTTCAAGGCTGGTGTCCACTGTGCAAAAAGTTTCCCTGAGTGAAGGCCTTGGCAAAGGCCAGTCTTTAGAAATTAAATCCATAGGGTCCCAATGCTCTGAGGGTGAGCCAGTAATTACTTCAGAACTGGGTATTTTGAAGGAAAGTCTAAAGGAGACGAGAGAAGCTTCGATTCAAACTGACACAATTGGAATAAAAACAAGAAATTGGTGGCCTGACCCAAATCTTCTCCCTCCATTCTGTAGACGTGGTCATCTCACAAAATCAGTCTCCCTAGACACTGGGCTTCATGGGAAATACAGATCATCCTACCATGAAACATTGGGTGCCCAGTCTGCCCAGTGCGGTCACAGCTGTCATTGTGTCTGCTGCCATCATTGCTGCTTTCAGTGGGCCTTTCCCTTCACTGCTTCCTCCGAACATCTTGGGGCCTGTTGTTCAAATCACAGCTCCGTAGAGTTACAGCTTTTGAAAACGTTAGAGCTCCTGCAGGATACAGCAGTGAGGAGTATTTCTCCAGTAAGTATGTTTCTTGCTGAAATAATACATTGAATCTGGCGCATTGAGCGTAAACTCCTGGGCTGTTCGTTTTTTCAAGGTCCACTCAAGCGCTGTTCAGTGTTGCAGAGAAAGTGTCAGGAATGTAGTTTAGGAAACAGATAGGAAGAAGGGACAGTCCGTCCTGGACAAACTGGAGGAATGTCAGAAATATACTTTGACTCAAATTAGGTTGTGTTAGACTACGTCTCTTAATGCTGAGAGTGTTTAAATGGTACCTGCTAGGTTAACAACTGACCAAGATGAGCTGGAGGACTAAGGCCTTGGCTACACTTGCAGCTGTACAGCGCTGTGAGGTAAACCTGTCTTCGTGCAGCTGAGTAGGGAAAAGAGCTGCAGTCTGTCCACACTGACAGCTGACAGCGCAGTGGTGTGGCCACACTTGTAACATTTGCAGCTGTGTTGGGAGCGGTGCATTATGGGCAGCTATCCCAGCATTCATGTGGCTGCAACGTGCTTTTCAAAAGGGGGGGGGGTTGATTGTGACAGGGAGTGTGGGGGGAGAGAGAGTGCTTTTTGGAGCATGTCATCTCTCTATTTTGCAAGTTCCGAACTCCCGGCCCCCTGCTCATTCATTCACTCACTCAAAGCAAGCTGCAATCTGTTTACTTTTCTCTGTGGTAGGAGCTTTGAAACCGGCACTTCCGCATTCCTGCAGCCGGTCACAACAATGGAGAGGATTGGCCACTTGACAAGGTGATTAGTACAGCGCTGCAAGCCGTTTACACTCACACCCGTGAGTCGTAGCCACTCCGTTGCAGCTGTTATTCCTCTCGGGGAGGTGGAGTACCTGCAGCGGTGTACCCAGGGAGATACAGCGCTGTAAGGCCTGGTCTACACTAACCCCCCAAGTCGAAGTAAGGTACGCAACTTCAGCTACGTGAATAACGTAGCTGAAGTCGACATACCTTAGTTCGAACTTACCGCGGTTCAGACGCGGTCCACACGCGGCAGGCAGGCTCCCCTTCGACTCCGCGGTACTCCTCTCGCCGAGCTGGAGTACCGCAGTCGACAGCGAGCACTTCCTGGTTCGACTTATCGCGTCCAGACCAGACGCGATAAGTCGAACCCAGAACTTCGATCCCCAGCCGCCAAACTAGCGGCTGGGTGTAGACCAGCCCTAAGTGCCCTGCCAGTGTGGACGGGGAGTGAGTTACAGCGCTGGGGGAGGCTTTACAGCGCTGTAACTTGCAAGTGTAGCCAAGGCCTCAGGTTTATACAGGTCAAATTCAGAGGAGAGAATGAGCTGCTGTTACTTGCTGCTTCTTCCATTCTCTTCAGTGTATAAATTCTACCAATCTGGGTTCCCTTAGGGCTTCTCTACATAAAAAGTTGTATTGCTTTAAACTACACCAGTATATATAAAGCAGTACAACCTCCCCTTCCCCAATATGGCTGCAGTTATACAGTGCTTATACTAATACAGCTTTATTCCCAGCCAGGCAAGGGAATAAACTGCACTGGTACAAGGCAGTTTTATATCAATATAACTGCATCCACACTAGGAGCTGTACCAGCATAACTGTTTCAGTTAAAAAAAAAAAAAAAAAGTCACACCCCTATATGAAATAGTTATACCAGTACAAAAACGGCCTTACACACTCTCAAACCCACTCAGCCTTGCTTAAACTCACACCTACCTATCAATATGTAAATTGTACCCTCTTATGCACCACTCTGCATTTGGCCAAGTGAGTTTGAGTCCCAAAAAAGAGCCTAAATAGTTGTGATTTCCACACTGAAGGGGCCAGCAGATGCCATAAGTTACACTAGTTCAGACTCACCTCACTTTGGCCCTGTATCTTTATTTTATCAGGGCCCTTATTCATGGCAAAAAAAAAATATTAGAAATGGCTAAAGGGAGGGAAAGGTTTGTAGAAAAACAAGTCAAATTTATGTAGGTTTCAGAGTAGCAGCCGTGTTAGTCTGTATCCGCAAAAAGAACAGGAGTACTTGTGGCACCTTAGAGACTAACACATTTCTTTGAGCATAAGCTTTCGTGGGCTACAGCCCACTTTTTCGGATGCATATAGAATGGAACATATATTGAGGAGATATATATACACACACATACAGAGAGCATGAACAGGTGGGAATTGTCTTACCAACTCTGAGAGGCCTTACTTAAATGTCTATGCTATAATTAAACAGCTGGGTAGCCTGAGCCCCACGAGCCCAAGTCAGCTGACATGGCCAGCTGCAGGTATTTAATTGTGTAGACATACCCTTAGCCTACCCAGCCTAAAGCTGTGTTTGCTGTTGGAACCAGGTGAAATGTTTGCAAGAAGAACTGAAACTACAAAAAGTCACCAGGTTTTGACTTTGTTACGAACTCAAAACTGAGGATTCAGGGTCACCCAGGGGATGGAGGGCCTCACTTGTTTGAGAGGCACCCCAAATCCATGGAACAATATGATGCAGAGCAGCTGGGGTAAACTGTAGGTAAACATTGCAACCTGGCACTCAGGGTTGCAGCACCGCTCAGGTTTGTCCCAGCCGCCCCTTGGTCATGACAGAGGGTGGGGGACAGCTGGGACAAAATTGAGTGAGTGTTGCTGAGATCTGGTACACAGGCTTGCAGTGCCACTATAGGTGAACTGGACCCTGCATGCAGTGTGCCACATGCCAGGTGTTCATCTGCTGGCTACCAAAACCATGGTGGCTCTCTCAGCAGTGAGGACTGGCTGGGAAGCAGGATGGACCCAACAGGCAAGTCTCATCAGCAGGGAGGAGTAAGATAAGGAGTGGGCTGGGGAGGCAGGGGCTCCTGGAGGGGATGGCAGGAGAGCTCCCTGGAGGGCTGAGGCTCCTGGGAGAGGGCTGGGTGTAGGGGCTCATGTGCCAAGGGGTGATTGTCAGGCTTTTTAGAAGGGTTGGAGGGCCTCCATTTCAGATTTTGCCCTACGCCCCCATAAACCGGCCCTGCTAGGATTGTCGGAAAGCTCACAATGCTTCTGAGAAAAGCTGGGCCAATGGATATTTCTGCACCATGAGGAATGTGAGTGTTTCTCCTGGTTTTGTGTTGAAACTATGGAAACTTGATGGTTTCAAATGAGTTTCTTCCTTTCTTTCTTTGAACCTGAAACTCAAAGTGAAACTTGGGACTGTTGTAAACACAAGTGGGTCAAAGTGCAGAAAATGGTAAGATTAACCCCTATGTAGTGAAACTGATGAATTCATGTTATTGACTATATCAATGCTATGGGGGCTTTTCTTTAAACTATTTGCTGAAGTGCTATGAATTTTGTGAGATGTCTCTCAATTGCCACAAGATGTCAGTGTTTTAGTACATTACAGCTGAATTTACATTGTCCAACTTATTTTATCACTCGTCTGATGGTGGTGAAGGATTAACAGTGATGCTTTTTCAGTAATCTGAGACTGAGGATACTGCAGGCATTGACTGCACACTACACTATTGTTCAAGCTCTGTTGTTTAAGCAAAGATGTGTTAAATCTGGCACTTGTCTGGGGTTAATCATGTGAAATCCAGCCCCTGCATCACAGAAGGACCCAAACAACTGGGAAAGCTGTGATTATGTGTGTTCGGTGTAAGGGACATGTAGGAAAGCCCATGTAGGGGGGGTCAGAAAACATTCCTAGGTTTATGTGCAGTGGAACTCCATGCCCATCTAAATGGAAAGCATTTGGTATGCTGGTGTCTAGTCAGTGGGTCTGAGGCTTTACTGGCCTAAAATCTTGGGGAGTTAAAGGGACAGCAGCAGCAGGTTGCATCTGCTGCTACATCCTGTGTCTTAGAATTGTGGGTATTGCTCCACTGCACGAGGTTGAAGATTCTGCTCCTCACTTCTTCATATGGAGAAAATCCTGTGTATGTAGGCTTTATTCCACATGACAGGATTTGGTCCATAATCTTTAGTCCAGCCTGTCAAGGGATTTAAGCATCAAACATTTGCTAGAACAAGAGAAAATCCTGAAAGTAATCAAAATCTATATTAACTGCAACATTGTTCTTGACAGAAGTCAGTGTTAAAACACTGAAAGAGCAAATAGCCATCAGATTATATTGAATTTGCATGTTTATATTTTATTCGTCTGGGTATGACATTTTCTTGTACAAGGAAATTATTTCCCAACAGAAACACTTTATTTCCATACTTTTTGGAGGCTCAGTTGCTGATTAACACAACTTTAAAAAAATTGATTTAGTTAGGTTTTCCAAAGTGATCATATCATTCTAGTCTATTCATGTTCTTATACCATATCCATCACTAAGGTACTTGAGTGATCTCCAGCAGTGAATTAGGGGACATGACCAACATTTTTCATGTCTGGTTCTTTCTTTATTTCTTTCTCTCATCCTCTCCCTAGAGGGGGAAATTACATTTTTAACATATGACATGCTATGTCTTTATATTAGCAAAATCCAGGTAGGAGAAATACACCTTGATCTTGGCATGGAAAATTGTGAGGTTTGAGGTAGTTCGGAGATCCCATGGGAGTTGGTTCCGCAACCTTGAACCAGCCCTTGAGAAAGCTCTGTCTCATGCACAGACAAGCTTTACCCTTGTGGCGAGACCTTTCTATAACACCTTGATGTGCAGGAACCTCCAAAGCAGAACAGGCCAGTGATCCATTGATTATTTATTCAAATGTATAACTGATCTAAACAATTCGTCTAGAATTCCGTTTCTAACTGAGGCCCATGCTAGAGTCTTAATGGGAAAATGTAAAGTCCCCAGAGAAATACTATGCTACGGGGAAATTACTTCTCAATACCAATCAATGACCACAGTAGACATGAAACACTGCAGACATTATTTCCAAATATTTATTTGAATGTTCAAGAATACAAACATATGAATTGCCATATTAGAGAAAGACAGTTCATTCAAACCAATACCTTGTGCAAGAGAGAACCTGGAGTGGACGATTAGGGAATAACCTGCCCAAAGAAATTTCTTTCTAACTCCTGTCAGTTAGTGATTGACTTTTTTGCCATGAAGTAGGAGAGTTTATATCCTTTATAAATAAATGTGCTTTGGCCGTGTTTGTATATTCTATCAAGCAATGTTACTGTCAGGAATGTTCCCCAAAACATTGACTTGTGAACAAATATTGCAAACTCTCTGCAAAAAGCAAACTTTGAATTTGTCCTGGAAACCTGATTCCAAGACTTACACTCATCCAGTCTGGGGACAGAAATCTTGTGTCCTGTGAAAACAGCTCAAATTTCAAATAGTTAATAATGGATACTCAAAGCAATATTTGCCAAGGACAGTTGATGAGCAATCTATAGGCTGAAATATATGTGTATAACACATTATTTGAATAGTTTTCAGCAAATGAACAGATCTGTGGGAATTGTGATGTTTGCAGACTTTTTGGCACAGAGAGAACTGAGCTATATATGTCATAGTGCCAGCTCGAATCCCAAAAGAATTGTATAGCCTTTGAAATTTTATCTTAGCTAGTGCAATTGCAGTTGCTATTTTTATTCTTATCAATATCTGATCCTCTTTTTCAAGTTTACTAATCCTTTTGCCTCCACTAGTAATGTAAAAGTCAGCTAAATGTTAACGTCTACAAATGGTGGGTCAAGAAAATGTGATGATGGTTCTAGAGGTACAGTGCTCAACCTGTCTTTCAAATCAGACACATGGAGCAAACTTCTTCATTCAGTGATGCTGATGTAAATCCTGGGCAACTCTATTCAATGCTAACGATTTACTTAAGTGTAACTAAGCTTTGTGTCAAAACTATGGGCAAAATCCTGTCTCCCTTGAAGACAAGGGCAAAATTTCCATTGACTTCAGGGGAGGCCTATGTGACTTAAGAAAGAAGAGCTGATAACTAAATACGACATTTATATTCTTCAGAAGTCATCTGGAAGCTTGTACCTACTAATGTCTGACAAGCCTGCTTATGATGTGCCTGTTCTGTTGATGAGAATAGGACTGCTGCCTCCTGAGCTGTCAGTATGACAAATATTAAAAGGAAAGTAATGAAATAGTCACTCTTCTTGTTCTTCTTCGTAGTGCACAATCCATGAAATAGAAGCTATGAAGCGTTCTTGCCAGAGTTTCCGGGAGAAGCTAGATGAGATCGAGCAGCACCTGGTAGAGCAACATGATCTTTTTTCCAGTGCTATGTCAGATGAAGGAAGGTAATTATATCACTACAGAAATACACATATTAGGGTCATTAAAAAAGCAACATTTTGGACCCTGAGTGCGTGTGCAGAGCATCTTGCTGTATGTGCCAACACTCAGACTTAACATTTTTATTGTATAACACAGAAGTCAGCATTCAGTTGTTCATCACTTTATTACTATCCATTTATCCAACCAATATTTTCTAAACTTGATCATGGCAGTGTATGTTATAAACAGTTTATGCTGCATTAAGATTAGGTGTACATAAGGGATTTATAATATGTGCCAACGAACGTACACTCTCTTTGATACTTCTCAGACTCAATGGCTGGGATTCCTCATGAGTATGACATCCCCAATCATGAAGGTGGCATCATGGGTATTGTGCATGTCGTGTGCCCACCCTGCAAGTGAAAAGGACTTTTTATGTAATTGTGTCCATAGAAAAGTATGACTTGTCTCCATTAATTTCAATGTTCAGAAACATTAGAATTAAAAATATGGTCTATTTTAGTTTTAAATGACTTAAAATACTATGGAAATACAGGCATAATTTGCAATAGATCTCATTTATTTTGACCTCAGCTTTCCAGATGAACATAGGTGGGGGTTTGTGGGGGGAAGGTGGGGTTTGATGATGAGGGCATTATACAGATTGGGCCATAACCAAAGGAAGCACTGTATTAGAATCATAGCAGTAACACCATCATCAAGATTGTAAAACAGTCTCCATTATACACCTAATTTTAAAAAATAAGTCTTTCCTTCTAATAAAACTTGTTTCTGGCTAAAATTTTTCATGTGCAGTCCCTTGGCAGAGGAGGGTAGTTTGAGGAAAGGTAGCAGTTAATCAAACAAGACATTTTTGAATGAAGAGCACTTTGAAGTGTGGAGGGGGGGAAGGTATGTCTTTTTTTGTTCGGTTGTTTTGTTTTTGTTTGTTTGTAATGTCATAACTCAAAATGGCTGGCTCCAAATCTGTTTAGTTGGGTTGTCTGCAGTGAGAACTAGGACCCAGGACTATTTTTGTACGACTGAATGGTTATTCCCTATGAATTAATATAGGGAAAGGTTAAAAGAAAAAGGGAGAACTTTACAGTTGGGTGTGTGACACACACATGAATTCAGTTTATTCAGAGTTCTGTGGCCTGCATAGTGCAATGCAGTAAAGGAACTATCTGATGCTAGTACTGTTAGGTTATTATTTAGACTGTAGAATGTTTTGTGGTGCTATGTCTGAAACAACACTGCATTAATGGCATGAATGAGAAATGGATGCTTTGCAGAGCATCACTATTCACCTGATTGTTTTTCTTCTGTTGTCTACTACAGGGAGGAAAAAAGACAACTGCAGGTCTTACGTCAAGCTGTTCGTCGTGAGGTTTCTGAACTGGAATTCCAGCTGAATGATCGATCTCGCCAGGCTAGGGAGGGAATTCTGATGGTACGTTGTATAAGCCGCTATTCTTGTGAAACATAGGAAAAAGGAATCTAGTTTAAAGACTCTTTATCCTATTGCCTTTACTGGGGCAATGTCACAGTTAGTGGTTGCCGTTTGTGGATTCCACATGCATTTGCTGTCAGTTGAACATGTGACCAAACCAACAAGGTTAAATTGTGTCATCTGGTACAACCTTGGGCCAAGATTTTCAAAAAGGGACTAGTGATTCTAGGCGCTTCAGTTTTTAGGTGCCCAGTTTATGACTCCTTAAAGGGCTTTGATTTTCAGAAAATTCTGAGGTCCAACCTTCTGAAAACCAGACCCTGGATACACTCAACATCACTAGTGGTGTTGGCCACACTGTTGCTCTTTCAAAATCTAAAAAATGTTAAATCCAGTAGGTATTTTAGTAATAAACTGCTGTCAGATGCAAAGCAAAAGTTTTCTCTTTGGAAAGAGAGAACTTTATATTTTGTCAGATCTCCAACTGATCACTTGTTTCTTGCCATTTGTGATTTTATAACCCAAAATGTCATCAACTTTCCTCCAAATCAACCACTGTAGTTATAGAATTGCTGCATGACTTACAGTCATGTAAGCGTACGCACAAAACAACCATTTTGATACTAACTTCACAGTGCAGAAATTTTCAATTACTGAAGGCTGATAAGAGCCTGTAAAAATTAACATGGCTGGTAGGTGCAGTAAGGATTCACCTGGCATGGACACCCATCGTCTGCAGTTAATATGAAAGAAGTAAAACAACGGCCAGGAGCAGTCAGTAGTGAAACAGTTGATGTACACAGAAAACGTATCGTAGCTATGGAGTGACTGAAAGCTGTTGTTTGAGCAGTAACTAGAGCCAGCATGAGATTAAAACCCCCAAAAGATTTAAGTGCTCCTAAATTATTTGAAGGGTATCCCCATTAAGTATAATTGTCATCCCCATTAAGCAACAGTTGCTGCTATAAAGCATTGTACCAACCCACCCACCCCCTTCTCTGTGCTGGACACAGGATCTGGTAGATGTCTGAAGGTAGCATGTCTGCACCTGTTTCTCTTCAGGTCAGGCACAGACCTGGATCTGGAAACCCCTGCCACAAAAACACCCAAGTGCACACAGAGTTCTGAGACCATTTAATTAGGCCGGGAGAAGTGGCTGCTCAGTCTGGGCCTCTGTCCTGGTGGGATTTGCTGCTCCATGGCTACTCAGCCTTCCCTTGCCCTCAGGATACGTGCGACCCTAAGTCCCCAGTGCTCATCGCCAGTCCCAGTCTAGCCGTCTCTGACAGTCCTGTTCTTGGGCTCATTCACACCGCGCCCAGGGCAACACAGTCCTTCTTCCTCCCACAGAACTCTCTCCCCCACCCCCAAAACACATGCTACTGTCAGGATGGCAAGTCCCTCCAGCTCCTCCCCACAGTCATGGAATCCTCCAGTTTCTTGCACCTCTAGGCCGTTGACTCCCATAACGTAGCTGTTCACATTTAGGTGCCATCTGCTGGCTTATTACATTACCCTCCACGCCCACCTTCTAAGATGATGTGCCTCCGCATCCTACTGAAGCTACTTCAAATAGTCCTTAAGCCAGTCTGTGCACCTGCTGCAGACCGCCACGGGCTTCTGAGACTCCGGGCCGGCCCCGGGGTTTTTGGCGCCCCAAGCAGCCAAAAAAAAAAAAAAGCCGCGATCTGCAGCGGCAATTCGGCGGGAGGTCCCCTGAGGGACCGTCCGCTGAATTGCCGCCGAATACCTGGACGTGCCGCCCCTCTCCGCAGCGGCCGCCCCAAGTACCTGCTTGCCAGGCTGGTGCCTGGAGCCGGCCCTGCTGAGACTGGTGGCAGGGGTGAGTCTTCGGAATGGCCCCCTGCTGAGCCCTACCCTGACACCACCTCAAGTGTTTGCTCACGATCCCCATCTTCATCAGGCCAGGGTACCCACTCTAGGCTTTCTGACACAGGAACATTCCTTGTATGTAGGAACTGCAGGGGAGCTGCAATACAGCACTCCTGAGAGTATTTTGCCTGAGGTTGGGTGGTCACCGAGGGCTCCTGTGTGGGCTCAATGTCCCTGCCCTCAATTCAGAGGGCTTCAACTGGTTGTAATCTGCAACAAAAGTTTATCCACGTAGCACCCCAGACAATTTCTTGATGCCTGTAAAAGGGACCATTAAGCTTTCTGCATAATTTTGGACCCTGCCCCTTCCTGGTCTCATACCCACACCGACTCGCTTAGCTCATACACCTCTCTGGTGACCCAGACATCATAGTATTCTTTCCATCTTTGTGTGGCCGTAGCCTGATTCCTCTTAGCAGCTTGACTCACAGAACTCAAGTATCCTGCTACCTGTGTGACATAGTTGGATGGATTGCTAAACTTGTTTTCTCCTAAAACTTCAGCTCAATGTGCAACAGCAGTCAAAAAGGCTAACCATGTTAGGAACTATTAGGAAAGAGAGAGAAAATAAGACAGAGAGTATCATAATCCCCCTATATAAATCCATGGTGCTCCCACACCCTGAATACTGTGCTCAGCTCTGGTCTCCCCATCTCAAAAAAGGATATAGTGGAACTGGAAAAGATTTAGAGAAGGGAAACAAAGATGTTCAAGGATATGGAACAGCTTCCATACAAGGAGAGACTAAAAAGATCAGGGCTGTTCAGCTTAGAAAAGAGATGACTAAGGGCATGGCGGGGGGATATGATAAAAGTCTATACAATCATGAATGGTGTGGAAAAAGTGAATAGAGAAGTGTTATTCACCCTTTCCCACAATACAAAAACCAGGGGTCACCTGATAAAATTAATAGGCAGCAGATATAATACAAACAAGAGGAAATGCACAATTAGCCTGTGGAACTCATTGCCATAGGATGTTGTGATGGCCAAAAGTATAACTGGGTTTAAAAAAGAACTAGATAGGTAATGGAGGATAAGTCCATCAATGGCTATTAGCCAAAGATGGTTGGGGCTGCAACCCCATACTTGAGGTGACCCCAAACCTCTGACTGTCAAAAACCCGGAGGGGAAGCCTGCTGGATGTCTCCAAAATTGTCCTGTTGTGTACACTTCCCCTGAACCTCTGGTAGTGGCCTCTGTTGGAGACAGGATATAGGGCTAGGTGGACCATTGGTTTGACCCAGTATGCTAATGTTCTAACTCTTCCAAAACATCTACCCCAGATATGCATTCAACAGGCAGGCAGATCTTCCACCAAATAACACCATATAGGGTGTATATCCTGTAGATCAGGGGTCGGCAACGTTCGGCACGCGGCTCGGCAGGATAAGCACCCTGGCGGGCCGGGCCAGTTTTATTTACCTGCTGATACGGCAGGTTCGGCTGATCGCGGCCCACACTGGCCGCGGTTCACCGTCCCGGGCCAATGGGGGCGGCGAGAAGCCGCGGCCAGCACATCGCTCGCCCGCGCCGCTTCTCGACGCCCCCATTGGCCCAGGACGGCGAACCGCGGCCAGTGGGGGCCGCGATTGGCCGAACCTGCCGTGTCAGCAGGTAAATAAAACTGGCCCGGCCCGCCAGGGTGCTTACTCTGGCGAGCCGCGTGCCGAACGTTGCCGACCCCTGCTGTAGATGACTGGACAGTGCTCCACTAGGCCATCCTAATGTAGGGGACAAGCTCATATCACTCTCTTTGATTGTTTTGAATCAGAGAGGGCAGCATACCAACACACACGTGGTTGAATCATTGAACTAACCTATCAGATTAGGGGTGATAAGGTGTAGTGCAGGTTTTGTGGATCTCCCAAAGGTCACACACCTCTTCGAACAAAGGGAATTCAACATTTCTTCCCTGATCAGCATGCAGGAGCTGAGGCATGTGTCTATGGTAGCACACAAACCTCTTGACAAATGCTACTGTCGGAGCTTCCTGATCAGGAAGGAGATATGCTTCTGCACACTTCGAAAAACAGTCAGCCACTAGAAGCACATATTTATTCCCTTGGGGTATAATGGCCAAAGACCCCAAGATAGCCAATGCCATTCTTTCATTCAATGCCTTGCCTGGGTAGAGACCATTGGAGCTCTGGGTTTACTTCCCATTTCTTTTCAAGCCCCACACATCCTCACAATCCCCAGCACCTCCTTCTTTGGCACCACGCCTTGAATAAGTTCAGACCTTTTCCAAGATCCTGGCAGTTTCTGCACCAGCGTTCCCTGTCTAACACTTGGCTCAGGCCACATAGTCCAATAGCTTTTCAGGCATGGATGATGCTAAGCTTCATCTGGGAATTCCCCACTACCAGTTCCCTTCCTACACCAATCTATTGACCCTATGGGAAACTGAGGCACAGAGAGATTGGGGTAGAATTGACAAAGGTATTCGGCATCTAATGCCCATTGATTTCAATGGGAGTTAGGCACTTAAATACCTTTGTGAATCTCATCTTAAGTGATTTGCCCAAGGTAACACAAGAAGTCTCTGACAGACCTGGGGACTGAACTTTGTTTTCCCAAGTCACTAGTTAATGCCCTAACCACTGAACTATCCTTCCTTCCTAGCCTATGTTGCCTCCCTAAGGACTTATCTATGCAGGGAAATTGACTGGCATTGCTAGAGCTCAGTAATGATAAAAGTGACTTTATTTTGGAATATTTACTCTGATAAAGTCACTTTTATGCTGGAATAGTGTTCCCATGGGGAGTTACTCCAGCATAGCTGTAGAGGCTTACTTATTGTGTTATAGTTGTGCTTGTCATTTTCCCCTGTATGGATAAGCCCTAAAACACAACTCAAATTGGGGACAGGGAAGAAGGAAGCCCCATCTTCATTTGGTGCAGAGTAGGGAGATGGCCACCAGAGTTGTATCTCCCCAGGGCTGCTCTGCCTGGTTTTAGTGTCACTTACAGTAGCTGAGGAAGAACAGTTGAATTGACAAAGCAGCACTCTGTGCCTGCCCCAACATCTCCACCAGCTTTCTCCTCCACCACAGGAATTCTCCATTAGCCATTTCCAGATTGAAGCCATTCATTTTGCAGTGCCTGCATGACACACAGTGCATGGCGCACTGGTGAATCTGGGCCACAAATTGTTACGATATACCCTTTTCAATCCAGGGCTGCCGCACACATCCACAGAGGTCTGCTTGGGGGGTTGTACTTAGGGTACGTCTTCACTACCTGCCAGATCAGCGGGTAGTGATCGATCTATTGGGGATCGCTCTGCCGTCGACTCCGGAACTCCACCGCGGTGAGAGGTGGAAGTGGAGTCGACGGGGGAGCAGCGGCAGTCAATCCCGCGCCGTGAGGACGGGAGGTAAGTCAAACTAAGATACGTCGACTTCAGCTACGCTATTCTCGTAGCTGAAGTTGCGTATCTTAGGTCGATCCCCCCCCCCAGTGTAGACCAGGCCTAAGGCAACTGTGTCAGTCAATCACAGTAAAATGGGATTGAAATTTATGTTACTGAAACATGAAAATGGGATTGAAATTTATTACTGAATTCTTTTCACAGCAGCATATCAGCCGCCAAATTATACTTTGTTTTTTTGACCAACAATAAGAAGTGGGCATGCTTCATAACCTCTCCTGTGTATCACTGTCTGATACCTTTTATAATTTTTTATTACTACAATATGCATGTCTTCCCTATTTTCTCTGCCGCAGCTGGACCAATTACTAGGAGAACAATCCCATCTGTTTTCAGAGCTTGGACTCCCTGATTGGAGGGAAGAAAGAAATGCCCAGAATAAACAAGTTGCTCCAGATGCCGCTGACACTACGCATCCTAGAGCTGGGTGCTCAGAAACGGTAGTTCCAAGGCGCCTGAGCAGAAGTGAAACATTCCCATCAGCTCCATCAGCCTCAATGCCAGGAACGCCAGAGATACAGTTTCCTGCTATGGCAACAGCGGAGCTAGACCCACAGGAACTCCACACCAGTAAAAAGGAAATAAAAGGTCCTCCCCAGCCAAAAATTGACTTTAAGGCTTTTCTACAGAGTGTAAGAATTCATTTTATACTGGTTGCTTGCGTATTCCAATGTCAGAACATGCTGACACAAGATTACTATTGTTTTTATTACAGTAGTGGCTAGAGGCCCAACCAAGGGCCCCTTTGTGCTAGGTGTTATACATACCCCTACCAAGCTATAGTTTCTGCTCTAAATACCTTACAATCTAAATAGATAGGGCAGACAAAGAAGGGTGGGGTAGCATTCTCAAAGTTAACTGCAGCGGTTACTCATGGTAATGAGGGCAGTATTATTATGTGGCTGGTGGTACCAGCAATGCCTTGTCAGTCTAGAACTCCGAGTGTGATTGGTTGAGATCTATACCAAACTGTGTGAAATTAACAAGTAGCATTAGCCTGCAAAACAACTTCAACTAGTTTACATGGACAGCCAAGGGAATGAATTTAGGTATCAGAGGGGTAGCCGTGTTAGTCTATATCCACAAAAACAACGAGGAGTCCGGTGGCACCTTAAAGACTAACTGATTTCTTTGGGCATAAGCATCATGATGCATCTGAAGAAGTGGTTTTTTTACCCACAAAAGCTTATGCCCAAATAAATTAGTGAATTTAGGGTTTCACCGGTTTTGTGTAAAAGTGAAAATGCTCACCTTTTTGACTGATCTGCGTTTACAGTTTCACCATCAATAAGAAACAGATTTTTTTTCTTTATTGTTCAAGATACAAAAACTTAGTAAAAGAGACTAACTAGAAAGTGGTCTAGCTAAAAAGTCAGATGGGTAATGGTCATGGTCTTTCACTTTTCCACTTAAGAATATGGACCCAAATCTTTAGGGCTGGACCTTCTCTTAAGCAAATAGCTAGAGCCAAATTCTGCATTACCTTCATGTAAGCCTCAGTAAAATCAGTGGATTTCATTCTTCTCACTTTTAGGGTTGTCAGGTGTCCGGTTTTCGGACGCTGACCGGGCCATTAAAAGTCCAGTTGGCAGGCTCCCGACCTGGCTCCGCATGGCTCCCGGAAGCGGCGACATGTCCCTCTGGCTCCAAAGCGCAGGGGCAGCCAGGGAGGCTTCATGCACTGCCCCTACCCTATATGCCAGCTCCTCAGCTCCCATTGGCTGGGAACTGCAGCCAATGGGAGTTGCGGGGGCGGCGCCAGTGCATGGTGGCAGCATGAACCCCTCCTGCACCCCAAGCCCCTCATCCTCACCCCACACCCCCAGCTGGAGACCTCACCCTTCACACACACTCCAATGCCCTGTCCCAGCCCAGAGCCCTCTCCTGTACCCTGAACCCCTCATTTCAGGCCCCATCCCAGTGCCTGCACCCCCCAGCCAGAGCTTTCACCCCCTCCTGTACCCCAACCCCATACCCCAGCCCGGTAAAAATGAGCGAGTGAGTGAGTGTGGGGGAGAGCGAGTGACAGAGGGAGGAGGGATGGAGTGAGCAGGGGGTGGGGACTCAGAGAAGGGGCGTTCAGAGGGACATGTCGCCGCTTCCGGGAGCCATGCGGAGCCAGGTCGGGACAAGGGTGTTCGGTTTTATGCGATTAGAAAGTAGGCAACCCTACTCTCATACCAGTTTTACACACAGGAGTTATCCCTGATTTATAGTGGTAAAGCAGAATCACGGAATCATTTCCAAGAATGAAGCCCCCGGCTTACAGAACCAAACAAGCAATTAACGATTTCATTTAAAGTATTGTGTTCCTTTATACCAGATATTTAAAGACTAAGACTGTTTAGTTATTTAGAAACTAGTTGTTAGTTGATTACTAGTTTTTAGTTACTTAAAGACTAAGACTTATTTTTCTTTTGCCAGCTGAAGAAATCGTTCCAAAATTTTCAGTAATGACATAGCAGAATGAAGAGATTGAAGGAAGACTGACAACTGTGGACTTTTTAAAAAAAAATAGTTGTGACTTCTTCCTACAACAAACACTTTAAAGCATCTAAGGCTTTACAAAAACAGAATGAAACAGCTGTCATTTGCAACAGGGCATTCTATATATTTTTGCAGTGCATGGACTGTCCTGAAAGGAAACCATTTTAAGGGGTTATCTCGATGAGGGTGCCATGTATTGTGCTGTTCTGTGGTCATAGGCAAAAGGCCTGTAGTAAATTCTATCCTTTGGCACAGTATTAGACGCCAGATTGTAAGCTGTCATTTCAAAAAACAGTTGAGCCCTCATAGTTGTGAAGAAAATCTTGGAAACATGAACCAAGTAAACTGATGTTGCACTGTCTTCCTGTACATTCACCCAGCCTCAGAAAATAACTTGGAAAGGTATTAACTGTATAACTGCTGGTCATTTGAGTGAAGCATCTAGCTAACATTAATCCTCAACCCCAAACTGCCTCGCACACTTTCCCTATCAACCACTAAAACCTCCATCTTCCCCCTGACAACTTCTATGATGGATGTATCTATCATGGCTATAGAAATCTGCACCACAATGACAATGTGTGGACAGCATACAATGTAGATTGAATTGAGTACCAAAATATACAACACAGTGAGTATCGTACTGATTGTATTAGTCATTTTCATATTTAATTCATAGAAACCTAATTTTAAAATAATATAACTGAAACCACTGCAAAAAAACCTGCAGAACCCAAGAAGGCTGCAGGATCCAGGGCCACTGCCTCAGCATTCTGGTCCAGTTTGCTGTGGAGTACACAGGGCTTTGATCTAGACACAAAATCTATTAGCTTGGAAAGCATGTATAACTTCTGAGGCACCTCTGGTTCTACCAGCTGTGTATGGGATGGCAATACATAAAGTGTTCAATATTAGAGACATAGTATTTTGTATGACTGCTTTTTAGCTTAGTGCTTTACATCTACAAGGATTTCCAGACATCTAACCATTTGTTTAATGCTGTGAAGGCGTTTTTGTGTCATTTAGGCCTTCATCTTTCAAGTCTTTACCCAATGGAAGTGCAAGTGAAGGCATCACTTGCTCACCAGTAAGATTAAGTGCTGAATGGTAGTAAAGAGCCATTTCTCTCCACTTACAGTGCACAGGGTAACAAGCAGGGCAAGGCTGTCATTGGCTTAAGCAAAAGCCTCAACAAGTTAATGGGGTGTTTATTAAAGCACTCCTGTTGTAGAATAAAATTCATCCCTCTGCAGATGGCCAGCATGGGACCTGTGCACCACTTACACCCTATTTGAAGGCATAATAGGGATTTTAAAAAGGTGCTTGGGAGTTGTAGCCCTCTGCACAGGGGTGAATTTCACCTGCCAGTTATTAGGCAGGAGTAACCAGTCACAGCAACACCCTTTAAAATGTGTGTGTGTGCTCCCCTCACTCATCATTTTCTACTTTGCACTGACATGTTCCACCCTCGGAGGGTGAGGATATGTCCCGTTTCGGACAGGACGGGACCGTCCCTTTTTTAAGCCCTGTCTCGGTCGTCCCGACTTTTTTGGCAAAGGGAGCATTTGTCCCATTTGCTTGGGCCGACTTCATCAGCTGGCAAAAGCAAATACGCCAAATGCCCATTTTTGTCAAAAAGGCAGGATGCGGCGCAGAGGAATGTGGAGGGGTGGTGGTGATGCCAGCACCATGCAGCGGGGGGGAGGCAGGACTTGCAGGGGGAGGGTGGGGGGTAAGTCAGGGCTGTGAGGATAAGCGAACCCAGTCTTGTGCAGGGGGAGGGGGACGGAGCAGGCAGGGCTCAGGTGAGCTGCAACCCTCAGCCTCACGTGAGGGAGGGGGACAGGTATAGCTCCTGCGAGCTGTGACCCCCCAGCTGTGCATGGGAGAGGCAGACAGGCAGGTTTCAGGAGAGCAGCATCCCAAGTCTCATGTGGGGGCGGGCCGTAGGCAGAGCTTGGGCAAGCAGTGACCCCAGCCTGAGGTGGAGGGGGGGGGAAGGGGCAGGCAGGAATTGGGGAAGCAGCCACCCCAGCCTCGCACACAGGATGGCAGGCAGGGCTCTAGTGAGTGGCGATCCCAGCCCCGCTTGGGGGAGGGAAGGGTAGGAAGGGTTCAAGTGAACCGTGACCCCAGCCTTGAGTGGGGGAGAGGACAGCCGCAGGCAGGGTTTGGGTGAGCAGGCACCCCCACCTCACACGCCGAGTGAGGGGCAGCGGCAGACAGGGCTGGGGGGGAGAAGTGACCCCAGTGTCACGCTGGGGAGGGGAACAGGGGCAGGTATGCCTTGGGCGAACAGTGACCACAGCCTCACACAGGGGGGGGGAGGATCTGCAAGGGCTCAGACAAGCAGTGACCCCAGCCTCGCGCATGGGGGGGAGCAGGTAGGGTTGCCAACTTTCTAATCGCACGAAACTGAACACCCCGGCCCTCTCCACAAGACCCCACCCCTTCTCTGAGGCTCCATCCCCCTCCCTCTGTTCCTCATTCTCCCCCACCGTCACGCATTTTCACCAGCCTGGGGCAGGCGGTTGCGGGGTGGGGTGGGGCTGCAGTCTCTGGCTGGTGGTGCGGCCAGAAATCAGGGTTCAGCATGGGGGAGAAGGCTCTGGGCTGGAGCAGGGGATTGGGGTGTAGAGGGTGAGGTCTCTGGCTGTGGGGTGCAGGCACTGGAGTGGGGCTGGGGATGAGAGGTTTGGGATGCAGGAAGGGGCTCTGGGCTGGGGCTGAGGTGTTCGGAGTGGGGCCGGGCGGGGGGCAGGCTCTGGCTAGGTGTGTAGGCTCTGGGGTGGGGCTGGGGATGAGGGGTTTGGGGTGTAGGCGGGAGCTCAGGGCTTGGGATGTGGGCTCCAGGAGGAATTTGGGTGCAGGAGGGGACAGCAGGCTGGGGCAGGGTGTTGGAGTGTGGGAGGGAGTTCAGGGTTACCGTGGCTCTTAGGAAGCGGCTGCCAGCTCCCTGCAGCCCCTAGGTGCATGGGCATCCAGGGAGGCTCCACGTACTGCGCTCGCGCCCGCAGGTGCTGCCCCTGCAGCTCCCATTGGTTGCGGTTTCCAGCCAATGGGGCAGCGCATGGCACCTTCCTTGCCACCCATGCGCCTAGGCGCCGCAAGGAGCTGGTGGCCGCATCCAGGAGCTGCACAGACCTAGGGTAAGCAGGGAACCTGCCTTAGCCTGGGCCCCCCCCCCCGAACAAACTTTTTACAGCCTGGTCGGTGGTGCCGACAGGAGCCACCAGGGTCCCTTTTCGACCAGGGCTTTCCAGTCAAAAACTGGATGCTTGGCAACCCTAGGGACAGGGCAGGCATGGCTTGGGCGAGCAGCGATCCCCCAGCCTTGCATGAGGGCAGGGGTTCAGGAAGGGCTCGGGCAAACCATGATCCCAGCCTTGCGTGGGTGGTGGCGGGGCAGGGGCACGCATGGCTCTGGTAAGCATTGACCCCAGCCTCACGTAGGGGTAGGAAGGGCTTGAAGGATCTGTGATGTTAGCCTCGAGCGGAGGTGGGGAGCAGGGGCAGGCATGACTGAGGCGAGCAGCGACCCCAGCGTCACATGGGGGCAAAGAGGCCAGAGCCAGGCAAGGCTCAGGAGAACAGCCACTCCAGGTTCACCGGGGGGGGGGGAGCGGGTACAAGCAGGGTTTGGGTGATCAGCAACCTCCAACCTCACTTTGGGGGGGGGGTTGCAGGCAGGGCTCAGGCAAGCAGTGACCCCAGCCTCGCACAGGGGAGAGGGGGATTGGACTGGCTTAGGCAAGCTGCGCCCCCAGCCTTGCACAGGGGGCTGCAGGCAGTGCTCGGGCGAGCAGCGACCTCAACCTCACACAGGGAGCTGCAGGCAGGGCTCAGGCGAGCAGTAATCCCAGCTTTGCACGGGGGAGGGAGTTGCAGGCAGGGCTCAGAGGGGAAACGACCCCAGCCTCGCATGGAAGGGAGGCAGGCAGTTCTTGGGTGAGCAGCAACCCCAATCACACAGGGGCTGGGGGTGGGAAGGGAGACAGGCAGTTCTTGGGTCACACAGGGGCTGGGGGTGGGAAGGGAGGCAGGTAGGGCTCAGGCATGCAGCAATCCCAGCTTTGTGCTGCGGGAGGGGCAGGCAGGGCTCAGGCCAACCCCACAGTGGGGGAGGAGGGCTCAGGCCCCACCTAGTTTTCCCTTTGGGAAGTTTGGTCACCGTACACCCTCTGAACATGTACTAGACAGGATCAAACTCTTGTCAGTAGAACTTCTAGCCAGACACCACCTCTGGCCCAATCATGCTTGCCTTAGACTACGTCTACACTACAGCGGGGGGTCGACCTAAGATACGCAACTTCAGCTATGTGAATAGCGTAGCTGAAGTGGCGTATTTTAGGTCGACTTACCTGGCTGTGAGGACGGCGGCAAGTCGACCGCTGCCGCGCCGCCGTCGACTCCGCTACCGCCTCTTGCCGCGGTGCATTTCCGGAGTCGACGGTAGAGCCATCAGGGATCGATTTTATCGCGTCTTCACTAGATCGGCGGGTAGTGAAGACGGAGCCTTAGTGACACAAACTCCTAATGACTTCAGTGGGAGTTTAATGTGACAAGGGCAACAAGATCTGTCCCACTGTGGCCCGTATTTCCTCTTTGAAAAATCTCTTAAAATATTGATGCAAAAGCTGTTTTTAAATAACAGAATCCACAGCACCTGAGCCAGAGCACTTTGTTTACGAAAACTGTTGCTTCAATGTAAATGTTTTCTGAAAAACTAACAGGCAGGTGCAGACATATGTCTCTGTAACAGGATAGATAAAATCGATTTTATTGAGGAAACTAGCAATGGAAAATTGAAACTCCTATCCCTTTTAGCCATTCATGGTTGATACATGAACTTATTGACCTGTTCAATTACAACTCAAAAGAGCACTTACACTGAATTAATCTTACTTTAAAAACCATCCTCTTCAAAACTCAAGGTGGGCTCCTTTAAAGTGTGTGAGCCTGTGACAGGAACCCAGGGATGCAACCTGGGACTGCTGTGCCCCCTTAACTC